GGAGCCTGTTTCCGATTCTGTGTCTCCCTCTCTCCCTGCCCCTCCCCCGTTCATGCTCTGTCTCTCTCTGTCCCAAAAATAAATAAACGTTGGAAAAAAAAATTTTTTTAAAGAATTATTTGTATTTGTTTCTTAAATTTTAAGCTCCATGACAAAGAAGAAGTTTTAGAGCATGGTGTTTATACCAGGCATTAAGTCAGTTCAACAGATACTTGTTGGATAAGTGATTTCCTGTTTCCCATTATACTCAGTAGTTAATTATTCCTTCTATTAATTGGACCTTGAAGTTCCCATAAAATTTTATGGCCATAAATATGACTTATCAGCTTATCATGTAAACAACTTTTCAGGAATCTTATTTCATAAGTATGGTATAACCAAACCATTATATATCACAAATTTGAGAAGTGTGTCATTTGTATAATTGCATATATGGAATTACAATGAATTTTGTGTATGAAGCTTTTCTACTTGTAACAGTTTGAGTGGTTTAAAAATACTAGATTTTTTATCTTGATACATTTTAACATTTGTAATATTGGAATTGTTACATACTGGAGATCTTAGAACAGACATTTAAAGATTTCCATAAATGTAAAAAGAAAAAAAAAGTCTTTTTGCTGAAATATGAAGATTACTGTAAACAGAGGAAATAACTATTATTCTTCATAAACTAAGCCCTCTGCTTTGTGTTCTCACAATTTTACCACATTTTTGTGGCAAATCTGGAAGGTTATTTCCCCAGTTTGTATATAAGGAAACTAAAGCTTGGAAAGAAATGACCCGCTCAGGGTCACATAATTGGTAGGGATTTGAACCCAGGTCTTTGGACTGTAAGCCAGTGTTCTTGAAGAATTGTCCAAGAGATGGAACTCTTCTGTAATGAGCCAAAGAGATAATATTCCATGTGGTTTTGAAGTAAATAAGTAACCTATGGAAAACTCACAAGAGCTATGGAAATGTCTTAAGCTAAGGCTTAAGATTGAAAGTTTGAAATGGATTCTTATCCAAGACTTACTCCCTCATTATACCTTTAGTCCCCCATGCAGATATAAAACTTTACCAAACAAATATTTGCTGTAATTCCATGGAAAGAATATATCCTAGCTGTGGTCCCATGGCACACTTATTATATCTATTCAGTTCTAATTTCCTTCCTCATTATTTTATCATTACTTGTTTTTTCATGTCTGCCCTCATGGATTATAACTTCTTTGAGGTCTTCTGTTACATTTGTTTGTGATTGTTGTCTCCTCCCTTGTTTAGTACTTTATACATAGAATATGCTTAAAAAATGTTGAGTAGTATTGAGTTACAGCACTTAAGTTTCTCTACAATGTGCTCCTTTCCACCTCTAAGATACTGTCTCTCCTATTAGTTTCCTATAGAGATAGCCAAGTTATTGTCGTCTGTGGTCCTCTTTCCTTGTGCCTTTCCCCCCATTCTGACTGCCCTTTCTCCTTTTCTCTACTAATGGCCTTGATTCCAGTCCCACCTTCTCCATGAGACTTCCACCATTTAGACCAAAATCTTTGAATATCCTTCTGTGTTGTCATTATGATGTATTTGATGCAGGTTATCTTGTTGTCAGTTATCTTTGTGTTTATGCCCCATCTCATCTGGATTGTAAGTTCAAACCCCTATACCTTTCTAGATATGAGTATTAGCTAACATGTGGTGCAAGAGATTGTCAGTGAATATTCTTATAAATAGAGGAACATGGCTGTGTTTAAAATATTGCTGACTAGTTTGGGGAGAAAATTTAATAAAAAAAAAGGGGGGGAAAGAAAAATGAAGTGGTCTGCTAACCAACATGACTCAGTTGGCATTGAAGTTAATGAAGAGAAAATAATCTGTACCATAAGCCAAGAGACTCATATTTGGATAGAATTCTAGAAACAGCATTACAGCACTTTTTTTCTTTCCTATCAGTCTCTTCACATATATGCTTAACATTTGTTGACTACGGACATCTTTGATCTTGTTTTTGACATTCACTGTGCTTTTACTTTATGTGAACAACTAACACTGAAATAATTTCCAATTTCTATTCAATCTAGATCATATATTTCTTGGTCAGTTATTTGGGACTGTAACTGAGCCGTTTGAACCATGTGCTATTTGGTTCTGGGATGAAAGCTTGGTTCTCTTAGCTGATTGCTGAGTCACCATATGTTGCTCTAATTCTGGAAAGCAGTGAAAATTGTGGTAGTGTTGAAGCAAAAAGTTGTGTTGGACTGGTGTTTTAATAATAAATGACTTATATTTATTGTATAACTAATTCACACACCTAGATGTTCTATAACTTACTTTAAATTATGGAAAATCTATAAGATAGTGATTATTAACTCTACTTTACATATGAGGGAAATAAGTCTGAGAAAGATAAAGTATCTTTCTTAAAGGCCAGATATTTACCAAATAGTACTGCTAGAACATTTGCTCATAAAGGCAGGGACTTAGTTGTGTTCACTGTTGTAGTCCCAACACTTAAAATAATGACTGGAGATTAAATATTTATTAAATGAGTGCAATTTCTCTCTCTCATTCTCTCTTGAACTCAACTCCAGATTATCACTCCCATCACTCCATCAGTGCTACTCTTGTTGATGTTACTGATGACTCTCCAGTTGCTAAAATCCAAAGTTCCATTCTCAGTCTTTTCCAATTTGATTTATCAGCATATTTAACTTAGTTAGTTACTCCCCTTACTTGAAATGCATTCTTCAACTGACCACACATCCTCCTGTTTCTTCCCCTTCTTCCCTGCCCACTCCTCAGTCTGATGTTTCCTTGCTATCTTCTCAGCCTTTCAGTAGTGGAGTATTCCCCAGGGCTCTGTCTTCAGATGTATTCTTCTTTCTACTTATGCTCACTTCCTTGGTGATATCACCTAGTGCCCTATCTTTAAATACCATTTATATCTTTATCCTGGACTCTTCTCCTGAATTCTACTCTAATATGTTGGGTGATTAATAAATTAATAGGTATAAGCAGCTCAACATGTGCAGAAACAGGCTCCTAATATTTACTCTTCTATCCTTCCAGTTGGAAGAGTGTAACTAAATCATATAAACCCAATTCTTCTGGTTGATTAGGCCAAAAAACTGGTGTTATCTTTGACATCCAGTCCATTAGTGAATCCTGTTGGCCCTATCTTCAAATGCCTTTTCAATCTGATCACTTTTCACCTCCATTGATATCATTCTTATTCAAGCCAGCATCCTTTTCCATATTTTGTTATAATCATTTCCTAGCTGATTTCCCTGTCTCTGCCACTCTATAGAGAGTTCTTAACAAAGTAGCCAGTGAGATCTTATTTAAAAAAAAAAAAAAAAAAGTTACAGCATAGAATCCTAAATCCTTAAAACTACCTTTTTGACCTCATTACCTACTATTTAGTTCAGCCCTATTGGTTTCCTTGCTATTTCTTTTTTTTTTTTTTTTTAATTCTTTAAGTGTTGTTTTTTTTTTTTTTTCATTTATTTTTTGAGAGAGAGAGAGACAGTACAAGCAGGGGAGGGACAGAGAGAGAGGGAGACATAGAATTCGAAGACAGGCTCCAGGCTCCAGGCTCTGAGCTGTCAGCACAGAGCCCAACGTGGGGCTCAAACTCATGAATTGTGAGATCATGACCTGAGCCGAAGTTGGATGCTTAACTACCTGAGCCACCCAGTTGCCCCTTCCTTGCTATTTCTAATACATCAGGCGTGCTTTCTACCCCATCCCACAGGATCTTTGTGTTTATTTTTCTCTCCTTCTGGAATGATCTTCCCACAGATGTCCCCATGACTTAGGTCTTGTGGTCTTTAGTAAGATCTTCAGGCCTCTACTCCTTAGGTCTTTACTAAGATATTCTCTTTCTCCGTGAGGTCCCCCTTGATTATCTTATTTCAAATTGCAGCTCCTGGGATGCCTGGGTGGCTCAATAGGTTAAGTGTCTGATTCTTGATTTTGGCTCAGGTCATGATCTCACGTTCATTTCATGAAATCGAGCCCTTTTTCGTTCTTCGCACTGGCAATGTGGAACTTGCTGGGATTCTCTCTTTCCCTCTCTTTCTGTCCCTCCCCTGCTCTCTCTCGCTCTCTCTCTCTCAAATAAATAAAAAAATAAAATAAAGTGAAATGAAATGAAATAAAATAAAATTGCATCTCCTTCCCTATATACCCCTCCCACACCACCCATCAGTACCTCTTATCTCCTTTCCTGCTTTATTTTCTTCTTATGATATTCACCATCCTTTAACATACCATGTATTTTACCTATTTATCTTAGGGTGTGTGTTTAAAACTCCCTCTCCATAGTAGTATGTAAACTTTACTAGAATATAAGTTCCTCATATAAAGGTAGTTATATAATGTTTTTATCCTGATTCATTCATTTGTCTGTCCTCAGAACAAATGAATCAATGAATGAGTATTAGGGTAGAATTCTGTTCTGATTGGCCTGATAGCTAAACTAGGCTGTCATTAGTTTCTGTATATTGTCCTTTGTTTTATATATACACCCCTACCTTTACCCTACCACTATTCAAAAGCCTTTGGAATTGATAATTGTAAATTTTAGACGTGGAATGAACAATCTAGATGTATTTAATATTTTTTTTAATGTTTATATATTTTTGAGAAAGACAGAGCATGAGTGGGGGAGGGGCAGAGAGAGACGGAGACACAGAATCTGAAGCAGACTCCAGGCTCTGAGCTGTCACAGAGCCTGATGTGGGACTTGAACTCACAGACCGTGAGATGCGAGATCATGACCTGAGTCGAAGTCAGGCGCTTAACTGACTGAGCCACCCAGGTGTCCCTAATATTTATTCTTATGGTGGTAATGATTACTGCTACATCCTAAAATTTACCTTCATATATGGCTGTGGCATTATACGTGTTTGTTTTTTTAATTCTTATAAATGTTCTAAGGTGGTGTGTATATGTGTGTATGTATGTAATAAATGTATAGCACATTTATTATGTGTATACAAATATAATTTTTTAAACAGGTTATCAGGACACCCCATGGGAGAGACTACGATGACTCCTTGGAAAGGTGTGATGAGTATTTAAGCTCAAGGTCATGTAGCAAGCCCCAGAATTCAGCAAGGACCCTACTAGTCCATTCAGCACCCTCAACAATGCCGAAGCATTCTCCAAGTCCTGTGCTTAATCGAGCTTCTCTCAGGGAAAGGTAATACTTAGTCTTTCCTACTGTACTGATTTTTTGAATAATCATCATTAGAAAAGAGAAGGCAGAAATAATGTATGTGAACTGATTATTTGTACAAGTATAATTTGATTTTAAAATGCTTACTTGTTTTTGTTTAGAATATAGTACGTATTACATAGCATTAGATATTTCTCCCGAGCCCAGTCCTCTTGAAGTGAGTTATTAACTATTAATGGGTTTATTAATTAGGATCACTTTAACCCTAATTCAATACTATGGTTTTTAAAAGTGAAAAATAGTGCATGATGGTTTATTTTCAATAGATCCATAGGGATTTAACATTATAGGCATGGCTTATGTATAAAAATAGCATAGGTTATACTTTCCTTTTAGTGATAATGATGCTGCTATATATTGTTGGTATATGGTATTTATTTTCCTCAAATAACCTCTCCCCAACTCCCCAAGAGAATTTTAATCATGTAAAAATTCCAGCCCTCCCTCTAAAAAAGCTTTGGCAACTGAAGTTAGATACTTGTTATAATTTGAATGTGAAAGAAAGAATTCCTCTTTGTCTGTTTTTGTTGTTGTTGAATTCAAATTGGAAATTCGTTGCCTCACTCACTAATAGTAACATAGAAAACAGTTGTCATAAATTGAAAAAAAACCAAAACACAACCCTACCCTAGGTAGTTTAAAACTTTTATAGAAATTTGAATGCCTCATGGTCCTTGCAACTTAACAGAAGATCATGGGGGAGGAGAAGTGAAGCAAAAAATAAGAGAGGGAGGGAGGCAAACCATAAGAGACTCAAAAACTGAGAATAAACTAAAGGTTGATGGGGGTGGGAGGGAGCGGAAAATGGGTGATGGGTATTGAGGAGGACACCTGTTGTGATCAGCACTGGGTGTTGTATGGAAACCAATTTGACAATGAATTTCATATTAAAAAAAAAAAAAGAAAAGAAATTTGAAAGCCACACATTCTATCAACAACATGGAAATGAAATCTATCTTTAGGTGGTGTCAAAAATCTGAAGTAGCACACCCAGTTTGTATAGCATATTATGACCACCAGACATTAATTGATAAAATTTACACTAACTGTATAGTCTGTCAAAAGTTCATCTCAAAACTGATGGTTTGAGCAAGAGTGTATCAGTTTGGAAGCTGTATTAAAACATCCTTATTCTGAAAGAAAAAAAAGTCCCTATTCTAAACAGATAGATTTCTTTCCCCATTAGCCCTATAAACGTTCAAATGGATGTATGGAGGTCTGCTGGAGACCCTGAGATAGGGAATTTTGCTTAATGTTGCCTCTAATCTTTGGAATGATGCCTGTGGGATCATCGAGTTCACAGACAGATGGATAGATAAAAAGATATATCTCCATGTTTATATAGAGAGATATGTACCTATGTTTCTATAGGCTTTAAAAGTTCCAGAGAAAGTCTTGAAGAGAGATTTTTCTGCTGAAGTCTGGAAACCTGTGTTGCAGTTGCCAGGAGACTTTAATTTCCACATCTGCTTCAGTGGTCAGATGTTCAGATACTCTCTTTTTGCTGACTTTCAGAATTAAGCACTTGTGGTTTTGTTGATTAGGTTCTTTGCCATCTCTGTAGGTTTTCAAGACATTTTTTATCTATATCTCCTTGGAAGTGTTTTTATGAATATTGTTTTATTTTCCTGCTTTTTCACAGATTTTGCAGAACTCTCCAGTTGCCTACCACTGTAGTACAATATAAATTTTAGTCTTGTGTAATTGTATCCTGAGGTCTAATTTCATCCTGGCTTTTGAAGTCTGTTTTTCCAAGTTGACAAATTCTTCACTGAGGCTGTATTCAAAAATTCTTCACTGAAGGCAGCTAAACTCAACTGTCCCTTTTTCATATCCCAGTGCAGGTGATGGCTTCCAGTAACAAGTGGCATTTACACATCTGTTCTGATGCTTGGTAGTAGATGCAGTAAGGTCTTTGCTAGAAGGAAATGAGTGGTTCTAATATTAAACATTACCTACATGACTAGAGCAAGGTTGAGGTGCTTTTAAAATAATATAATAGCAATTCAGTTTTAAATTCATCTAAGTAAAGTAATAAAACTTTATTGGGGTACTCTTTAGGGTAGATAAACTTTTTTACTTTTGCTAAGGTGAACACTTCTACTTTGAGTGTATGTTTTGCAAAAGATTTAGATTTGTTTATAAGGAAAATAAAATGTCTTTAAGACATATTACTAGAAACAAAAACATTTTGTTCTTTTTAGCACACTCAGTACCACACCTTTAAATATAAGACATCCTCTGATAATGGCTCTTTTAGATTACTGAACAATAAACTTACAGGGCATTTATAAAATCCAACAGAATCAATAAGCAATTTAAACTGATGTAAAAATAGATTGTATGTCCCAGGCAAAATTGGGACCATGACAAAACATAACGCTATAGAAGTTATCCGGGTTAAATATTCATTAAGATGAAATAAGTTTTCCTTTAAGATTTCTGTGAAGTGTTGACTCCTAAATCATGTATATGAATAAACAGACTTTCAAAAACTATTAGTGGGGCTCCTGGGTAGCTCTGTCAGTTAAGTGTCTGACTCTTCATTTTGGCTCAGGTCATGATCTTACGGTTCGTGGGATCAAGCCCTGTGTCAGCTCTATGCTGTCAGTGCAGAGCCTGCTTGGGATTCTTTCTCTCCCTTTTTCTGTGCCCATCCCCTGCGTGCTGTATACTCTCTCTCTCTGTTTCTCTCTCTCTCAAAAATAAAACTCTTATTAGTGACTGTAAGCAAATAAATTTCTTTATTTATAGTGAAGGTACCTTTTGCTTGAAGCCCATTTAAAAAATATCTTCAGTAGAGTTAACACACATAAAATGGTTTCAATCTTTATTATAAGTCTTACATTTCAGAAACAGTTTTCTCCTCAAAGTATAAATATTAATATTATGACTTATAATTTGTATTAGGCTGTAAAGTTATTACTAAAAACAGACTAAGAAATACTAGCAAATTTAATTAAAAAGGAGCTGATACTCTTTTTAATCATGCTTACCGTTTTGAATTTTGTAAATGAAGTTAAAGATTGTTAGGCAATCATTTCTTATACCACAGCACAGACTAGTGGACCCTCTCATAGCACACTGAAGACACCCTCTTGGAACTGCACATTTGGATCTCAGATTTTCAAGATGTGTTGCATATGTAGCAAATATAACAAAGTTGGCCATATATTTGTGTAGCTTCAATAACACTAACTTTTACAAATATGGGAGATGAAAATTTAGATATAGTTGATCATCCATTAGCGATTACATTCTTTAAAACAGGTTATGTAAATCATTTATCCTGCTAAAGAGTTTATACCTTGTGTAAATATATAAAATTGTAACTTTGTAAGAATAAGCTAGGAGGAAAAAAGGCAAAGATGTAAGCAATCTAGTAGCATTTTAGTACCCATTCCTTTATGAAGGAATTATCAATAGCACTTCGTATAGATGAATTATAATCAGATGGACCTGGAAATTTTCATTATTACTTGTATAAAATAAAGTAACTTCAGAATACTAATGCCAGTTTTGAGTTTGAGCGGGAATAAGAAAGAGGAATGGTTGTTTTATTTCTTCTTTAACTCCAAAACTCAGATTTTCATAAAAGTCTCATTTTCCTTTCCTTTTACAATATTCACTTAAAAAGCACATTTATAGGAGAGACTAGAGAAGTGATTGATATCTGTGCTGAGAGGGAATCCTTCAATTTTGATACCCCCTATCTTCTGAAGGAGTAAGAGCATGATTGCATTCTAAATAATATTTTCATCTATTTGAACATTTTGTTTCGTTTCATAAAATTAGTTTTATTGTTCTGTATACATAAAGGCATTTTATCCACATAATTTAAGAGAGTGTGATTAAATTACTGGAAAATAAGAACTAATTTTAAAGGCACTATACATGGAATTATTGTTCTAATCTGAAAATCTGTATCTTTATTTAGAGATAAAGCTCTAAAGAATTGTGTATGGAAATCATTAAAATGATTAACTACTTAGGTGTGCTCTCCCTAATTTACATCAAATGTTATTATTACTGCTTATTGCACATATTATGAAGGCGTAATATTTCCGTGGAGAATCAGTGCCTGATTTTTAAATCTGCCTCTCATCTTTGGTCAAAGAAGAAAATATGCTATTTAAATCTTTCTGTGTCATCACACCGGGATAAGAAAAAACAATGACTTTTGGTGTCTGGCATTTGGATAGATTTCTTTCTCTCCCTCTGGCTACAAGTCACCTTTGTTTTTTATACCTACAGATTCCATTCTGATTGGTGTTCACCTTCAAACTGTGATGAGATCCATGACCGGGTAAAAAATGTCTTGAAATCACATCAGGCTCATCAAAGACGTTTATATGTTAGTTTCTAAAATTTCCTCTTGAAAGCCGTTTCTAATTGGGCAAGAGAACCACTCCAGATGCTTAAGCCTGTAATAGTTAATCACTGAAAGAGAAGAAAAAAAGATACAACCTCCATTTGATGGAAGTCAGTGGTTTTGCTAAAGGCAACATCTCTAACTTCCTCTTGACCTGAGTCATTGTGCAAAATGTTTGACATCATCTGAACTCTAAACAGTGTTATTGATCACATCTCGTAGTAAGTAGTGACTTTATGATAATTATTTCATTGCCTTCCAAGTATGGGGGCTCTTGTTTTATGGCCCAGTATAAAACAATTCCATTTCTTGCAAATAGATTGTATTCTAAATGGTAGAATGAGGGGAGGTGGGGTGAGAAATAATTATTTTGAATAAGCTTCCCAGCTGATTTTTATGTTATTTAAAAGAGGAAAAGAGCCAGTCAGGTTTACTGGGTTTAATATTAGAGACCATCAATATGAGAATATTTTCTGAGGTAAGACAAATAAACATATATATGACGGGCAGCTGGGAAATAATGACAGTGCATTCTTTTTGTGATTTTTTTGTTCCAGCAGTTTAAAAAACAATCATTTATCATGAGTGTCATGTTGGGAATCTGACATTTCCTGTCTCTCGCATTTCCTCTTAGCTGCTGCCACTTCAAGGGTAAACATTATCCTAAGTTCTAATGGCAAGATTAGTCTTATGTGTTTTAATCTTTATATAAGTGACATCCTTCAGTATGTACTTTTTTCTCTGACTTGTTTCACTTTGATTTTGCAATTCAGACTATCGTGCGCTACAGACATCTTGTTATATTTAGAAACAGTTCTTCACTTTTGCTGCTATACAGTATTTTATTTTATGAAGCTACTACTGTTGATTTATTCATTCCTCTGTTAATGGACATTTGGGTTGTTTCTGGTTTGGGCTCTTATAAAGCTGCTATAAGCATTGTATGTATACCTTGATGCGTATATAGAATACAATGATGCAATGAAGGTATCATTGTATTGAGTATGTATTCTTATTTGGAATTGCCCAATCATGGGCTATGTGTACACTCAGCCCTAGAAGGTGCTGTCAAAAGAATTTTTCAAGTGATTTTAACTACTTGTGTGTGAGAGTTGTACTTGCTGCACATCCTCACTGCTACTTGATTGATGTGTGTGTGTGTATGTGCTTATGTGAGTTTTCCTTTTGGCATTTGGTAAGAGGTAGTTTATCATATAATGGTATTAATTTGCTATTTCCTGATGACTAATGTATATGTTTATTGGCCATTGGATATTCTCTTTTGTGAATGCTTGTTCAGGTTATTTGTGAATTTTTGTACTGAATTGTCTCCTTTTGGTTTTTTGTTCAGAGTTCCACATAGATCCTTGATATGAATTCTTAGATATATATTTTGTAATTGTCTTTTCTCACTCTATGCCTCATATTTTTATTTTCTTAGTGACATCTTTGATGAAAAAAATTCTTGATCCTAATGAATCTATTTCATTATTTTTAATTTGTTGATCAGCATTTTTAGAAATTTTGTGTACTTCGAGACTTTCTCCTATGTTTTCCTCTAATGGGTTTTTGGGTTTTTTTTTTCACATTTAAATGTATGTTCTGGTTAAAATTATTTTTTCTGTATCATGGTAGATAGATCTCAAATCCCAAGAAAGGTTTAAGCCTCCACATTTCTTTCTAGTTTTATTAATTTTATATATTTTGAAGCTGTGTCATTGGTTGGATATAGACTTCAGACTGTGATATGAGGCTTTTATTGTGAATGCCCCTATTCATCTCCTTGCTTGAGGGTAGTACATTTTATCTGATATTTGTATAGTTAGAATGGCTTTATTTTGGCTAGTCTATGAATGGTATATATTTTTTTCTTTTTATCATTGTATTTAAAGTGTATATATTGTGAGTAGCACGTTTTGTTTTTGTTTTTGAAGAATTAAAATCTAGGATATTTATGTAGATTGATTGTCTTTGGTTGGAATTAGCAAGCATTTTTATAACTTATTTTCCTTTTTATTAACTTGTTAATTCATTTTCTAACTCTTCTATTATTGGCTGCCCTGGAGATTTCAGCTTGCACACTTGACAAATTATTTTTTGTTGACCTCCCTACCAGTATTGGGGCCTAAAAACATTTAACCCGTCCCCTTTTTTTCATATTTTTGCATTTTAATTTTGTACTTTAATTCTACATGTATAAAACACACAAGAAATTAATTTTGTTTATATGATGTTTATTCATACTCATCATTTATTTATCTGTTCTATTATTCTTCATTCTTTCCTGCAATTCCATGTTCCCATATGGATTCTAGAGTCATTTTCCTTCTGCCTAAAGAGCGTCCTTTAATACTTCTTTCATGACATTCTCCTGGCTGTGAATTCTGATTTTGTTTGAAAACATCTTGTTTTCACTTTTATGTGGGATGGTTTTACTGGATATAAAACTCTAGGTTGGTAGTTATTTTCTTCTCTTTTATTTATTTATTTTTTTAACATTTATTTTTCAGAGAGAGACAGCATGAGTGGGGGAGAGGCAAAGAGAGAGACAGGGAGACATAGAATCCAAAGCAGGCTCCAGGATCCAAACCCACTGAGCCACCCAGGCAACCCTCTTTGTCATTTTAAAGAAGCTATTCCATCATCATCTGGCTTCTTTTATGTCTTGAAAAGTCAGCTCCTACGCTTTTGAAGTAATGTAGGTATTTCTCCTCCTACTCCCGTTATATTTAAAATTCACTCTTCCACTTTGTGTTTAGTAATTTTACCATTATATACCTAGATGTGGTATTCTTGGGTTAATCTATGTTAAGTTTTCAGAGCTTCCTAAATTTGTAGGTTGATATTTTTCATCAGTTTTAGAAAACCTGTAGCCATTATTTCTTTCAACATTGCTTCTGCCCCATTATCTGTTTCCCGTTCCTCTGGACTCCCAGTTATATAAGATTTTTAGACTGTATCTCATATATATCTTATGCTTATTTTGATATTTTTAATTCTTTTTTCTTTTCCTCTCTCTCTCTCTCTAGTTTGATATTTTCTTTAGAAATGTCCTCTAGTGGGGCATCTGGGTGGCTCAGTTGGTTAAACGTCCGACTTCGCTCATGTCATGATCTCACAGTTCGTGAGTCTGAGCCCCGTGTCGGGCTCTGTGCTGACAGCTTGGAGCCTGGAGCCTGCTTCAGATTCTGTGTCTCCCTCTCTCTCTGCCCCTCACCTGCTCACACTCTGTCTCTCTCTGTCTCTCAAACATAAACAAACATTAAAAAAAAATTTAAAAAAAAGAAACATCCTCTAGTTTGGTAATCCTGTCTTCTCTGGTTACATTGATGTTAAAACTATTTGAAACTTTTTGAAAGACATTAACTTTCAAGAATTTTTTGAGAGGCATAAAATACCAAAACTAACTCAAGAAGAAATAGATAATCTCAATAGTTATATATCTATTAAACAAATTGAATTTGAAGTTAAGAATCTTACATAAAAGAAAACACCAGGCCCAGGTGGTTTCTCTGGTGAATTCTACCAAACCTTTAAGGAAAACATAATATTAGTCTTATGAGACAGAAAGTAGAAGGAGGAAAACTTCCTAAGTCATTTTATGAGGTCAACATTTACCCTAGTGTCAATGACATAATAAGAAAAGAAAAATATGGACCAAAATCTTCATGAACATATATGCAGAAATCCTCAACAACGTATTAGCAGATCAAATCTAGCAGTATATAAAAATGAAAGTACATCGTAATCAAGTGGTCTCATTCTAGAAATGCAATATAAATTCATCCTATTGACAGGGTAGATAAGAAAAAGCTTATTTCTTCTGTATGTCATTTCAATAAGCACAGAAAAAGTATCCAACAAAATCCAGCTCTGTTCTTGATAAAAAGTCTCAGTAAAGTTGAGGTAGAAGGGAACTTCCTCAACCTAATAAAGAGCATCTTTGAAAACCTACAACTAACGTTATGCTTATGGATGAAAGACTGAATATTTTCCCCTAAATTCAGAAACAAGGATGCCCTCTCTTACCATTCATTTAACATCATAATGGGAGTCTTAGACAATGCAGGAAGGAAAAGGAAATGAAATGGATATAGGTTGGAAAGTAAGAAAAAAAACCTTATGTTTGCAGGGGATATGGTTTTGCAGGAAATTCCACAGGATCTCCAGGAAAGCTCCCAGAATTAAAAAGTAAGTTTAGCAAGATCACAAAATAGAAAGAAAGCCCATTTTTTCCCTATATACCAGCAATGAATAATTGGTATTTTAAATTAGAAAATCCATACCACTTACAATAGCATTAAAATTCAAGTGTTTATGTATAATTCTAACAAAATATGTTCATTGTTTGCATTCTGAAAACTACATAATGCTGTTGACAGCAATCAAAGAAGATAGAACTAAGTGGAGATATAGCCCATGTTCACAGATTGGAGAACTCAAAATGAAGATGTCAGTTTTCCTCAATTTGATCTCTGGATTCAGTTCAATCATAATCAAAACCCTATCAAACTTTTTAATAGAAATTGACAAGCTGATTCTAAATTGTGTATAGAAGGGCAAAGGAAATTAAAAAACCAAAAACAGTTCTGAAGAAGAACAAAATTGGAGGACCCACTACCTAATTCTAAGACTTACTGTAAAGCAGGGGCGCCTGGGTGGCTCAGTTGGTTGAGCATTAGACTTCAACTCAGGTCATGATCTCACAGTTTGTGAATTTGAGCCTTGCATTGGGCTTTGTGCTGACAGCTCAAAGCCTGGAGTCTGCTTCAGATTCTGTGTCTCCCTCTCTTTCTGCCCCTCCCCTGCTCATGCTCTGTCTCTCTTGGGGAAAAAAAAAAACATTAAAAAAATTTTTTAAAAAGACTTACTGTAAAGCACAACAGTGAAGACAGTATGGTATTGACTAAATAGTAGACACACATGTCAAAAGAACAGAATACATACGCCAGAAGAAGATCTGCATAAATATTGTCAACTGA